GAGTTCCTAATAAGCGAGAATGGGCGCGAACTCAACGATCTGAGACAAGAGGTATCGTCACTTAAACGCCAGCTGGATGGTGCAGTGGATAGCATAAGGCGACTTGAGAGAAGAATGGAATCTTCAGAGCACAATTTAGCGCTCAGGAACGTTGTTCTCTCAGACATCGAGGAATATGTCCGACAGCAGCAAGTTTCCACGTACGACGGGACACTGCTTTGGAAAATATCGGATTACGCTCGCCGAAGAAACGATGCCATCAGCGGAAACCAGACGTCTATTTATAGCCCGTGTTTTTACACCAGTCGCCACGGGTACAAAATGTGCGCCCGTCTGTATTTGAATGGGGACGGCATGGGCAAAGGAACACACTTGTCGCTGTTTTTTGTCGTCATGCGCGGCGAGTTTGACGCGTTACTCCGCTGGCCATTCAGACAGAAGGTCACCATGATGTTGTTGGATCAAGACAATGTGGAGCATGTGATCGATGCGTTCAGACCCGATCCAACCAGCTCGTCTTTCCAAAGGCCCAGGCGGGAGACAAACATTGCAAGCGGGTGCCCCTTGTTTTGCCCACTGTCAGAGTTGAATAATCACGCCTACGTACGAGACGACACCATGTTCTTAAAGATTATAGTGGATACTCTGGATCTCTAAACATATAACTAAGACAACCTTGTAAGTTACAGTTAGAGAATCGGGGGAATAAGTTTCGTATTTGCGGTCAATACCGTAAAGCTTTTAATCACTTATCAAAGAACAGCGCTATAAGTGCGAGCAATCTACACTACTTCAGAAGTCCATTAGTACCTTTGAGAAGAACATTGCCAGCGAGCTCAGTCCGGTCTCGACAGCCAGAATTTTCCATCAACCGATACTTTCTCCCCCGACTTTAGAAGCAGACAATAGTGTCAAAATCTCGAAAAGAAAGTTAGCCTTTGAACAAGCTCCCGATTGGGTTACAGGGCAAAAAAGACTATGGCGAGCGGAGCTTGTTGACTTGCTTCGCTCGCCGAATTTTTTACACCTCGCATGGAGCCTGTTAACAAGCTAGAGGAATCTGATCTGACTCGTCCTCAGACGTCCACTAAAAGGTGACTAGGGTCGAATCAGAATAACTATTTATCTAACTGATTATAAGAGCGGTTTTCAATTGAGTGTTTATAAGTGACCACAACCAAAGTAATCACGGGCAAATCAGGGAGAATACTGACAATCCAGTAAACCAATCAAGACTCGAATCACATACATGTGGCTGACGCAAGACGCGGCAAAACGTGTATGAGCAAGTCGCGAGTGGTTTAACTTTTGGTTTCAAGTCCGACTGGATGAGAAAGTGGTAGGATATTTTTAAGCCAATCGCAAAGCGTATTAATGTAACCAAAGCTAATGAGGATTACTTTTGACACTGAAGTGAAAAGCGCTCTTTAATTAACTCAGTGTTCTTTTAAAGGTCAAATGAACCAAAATTTAGACACTTTTTCCATTTGAGTTCAGTGTGTTCATTAAGTATAAAATAAACATATTCTGAAGTTTCAAACGAATTGGAAGAAGCATTGCGGAAATATTGGAAAGTTAACATCATTGTTTTTTATCCTTCATAATCGTAGAGCGGTCGGGAAAATTGTCGAACAATTGTCGGAAATAAAACTTGTGACGTCACTGTTGGTGAGCTCAAGAAATGCGGGAAATTTGAAACTGCTTTGGTTTCAAGTTCTCAGTGAACTTCAAAGGAAAACCACTCAAAATCAAAGGTTAGCACTTTCAAGTTCCCCCAGGACCGAAAACTTAAAGGAGAATGGCTTATAAAAATGAAAAGAGAATGCTTTATTCCCTCGAAGTGTTCGCGCGTTTGTGTAAAACACTTTACCGAAGACAGCTTCGAACTAAATCTTGTAGTAAGGAGTTTGTTGGGACTCTCTTTCAGCTTCGTAAACTTGTAGTCAAGAAAGACGCGGTACCGACGATTTTTAACTTCACTATAGAACGTTGCAAGTCGGCAATTGGACAAAAAAAACAACGAAAAACAAGCGAATAATGCCCTCCGATGATGACTTTGCACTATAACTATCTCTGCTTGAATGAAACTTAGTATGTGGCATTGTTGATAATTCTCTGCCATCTCTTTTTCAGAAACAAGAGGGTAATTTATTGCCTGAATTGGGATAAAGAAGACATCACGAGAAGTACCCATGACTAAAGCAGTGGTAGATTCTCTAACAGCTCTTGGTAAGTTGCAATGTTGTTTTGGCTGTGCACTATATATACCCAAAAATTATAAGCACTTCATTGTTAGAAGTAGAATATTTTTGGCTCGCCCAAAATGAACACAGTACTGACATTTCTTCCCAGGATTTATCTTAACATTAATGTGTGACTCCAAGGTATTGGGAGACTCAATTTTTCTGAACCTGTCACCTTTCACCCATAGCAAGGAGGAATTCTCACACTGATTTCTTATGCAAATCTTATGCAAATACAGCTTGTTCCACACATTTACGTTCTGGGTGTTTTATGAAGCCCAAAGCCCTATAATGTTTTTCTTGGCACCCACTTATGTACTGTCCTTTGCAGCACCTGTAGGTCAACATGTCAGTGAAGTTGCACATGAGCATGTGCCGGCATTGAGGCAGTGGCTAGCAACCAAAGGGATCAGAAACTCATATGACAGCTGGCATGGTAGGTCACCAACCAAAGTACTATATTTCACTGGTATGGATTAACCTGTAATCTGCATCAAGCTAGTAGCTATGTACTGCTTTAGTCTCTGTGATAATTAATGGTAGTTCTTGTTTTCCTTTACTCACTAATGTTGGGAAGGGTGTCAAGAAGGCCATCAAAAAGGTTGCCAGTAGGCTTGTTAGGGACTCAGAGAGGTCTTGGCTTGCAGAGTTGTCAGACAAAGGTAATTTTCCATTTGAGGAGACATGCCTGTGCAGAAAGTTATTTACATAAAGTTTACTTGTGATGTGGCCTGTCTGTATTTTATTATCATCCACTGGATCCTGAGTAACTTTTGTGGTGAAAATCTTATGCATTATACCGTTGTTAGTTGAAGTTAAAAAAGCGTTCTAAGAATGAATTCCGTTGTTTTGACAGTGAAGTGCACCAAGACGCATATTTATTATGCAATGAAGAATTGTAATGGTGATGCAGACAAGCTGAAACGATACATAGTAAACATTGTAGACCATTACCAGGTAAAAGGGTTCACGAGGTACATGTACCTTTGAATTGTGATCCTAATTTTGTGACCAGAAGAGATTTATTCCCAGGGTACAAGTAGCTATGAGTGGTTAGTGGCTGTTGAGACGATATTTTTTATTTCCCTCACCCCACAGGTGATCGAGCCCTTTGCACCTCATCATTATCAAGGTTGTACAAGCTACTGAATCGGAACCTCTAGCTCTACACAGTAAACATTGTTCGTATGGTCGAAAGGTTGTTTAATTCATTTTATCTGTGTGGCACAGGGGGATCACTCCAATTGCCATCAGGAGTCTCGATGTCATCAGCAAGCCTATGAATGCAGCAAAAACTGACCCCTTGTTACTGCACAGGCTATTGCAGCATACCGGAAGGCTGTAGTGGGGACCAACCCCTAAAAATTCGCTGAAGATTATGCCTTGGTAGTACCGGGATTCATACATCAATACCTATTGAGTGGAATTGTATCTTTACTCCACAGATCTGCAAATAACCACTTTATTTCATACAGTATGTGGAAAGTCAACGAGTGGGCAGTAACATTCCTCCCACCAAACAAACGAACGCTTGCACTACTCACTGCACATAGTAATGTTTATTAATTTATGAACATGAAGCGCTTCCATTTCAGTCGTAAAGACACCAATGAAATGAGAATGCAGCTTACGGTACTAGACTGGGGATGTACCACAATACTTTTATTAGTATTACATGTATCTTCACAAAAAGTGGCAGTACCTCAGTTACAAGAATTTACATCAAGTACACTCCCTTGTTTGAACCTGTTATTAGTACTGAATGCTA